GTGGTCCTTCGCAGGGGACTGAGCTCAGGTCTGTAGTCCAGCGTGAGGAGGAGTATGATTTATCCCCTGGGAAGAGGTTCTTGAAATAGCAGTGCATTGGTGAAACACCGCGGCATCCTCATCCAAGTGCAAAGGAGGTAGGTTTGAAATGTGAAAAGATCTATTTACTGCAAGGTTTTTCCAGACGGTCGCAGAGGAAATAATACTGACAACCTAGGGATCCCTATTACATTTCTGTCAAGGAGAATTGTTGTGTTACTCTCTGTGAAAGTTATTATTTCACTCTGTTTCCACGTTTGTGAAGACAGTATCCTGCTAATTTCTTCAAGATTATATTTGCACCTACAACATCTAAAAACGTCTGTTATAAAAATGAAAGTTAAACTACTGGAAGACAGAAATAAAACAGAGTTGTGTGTTCCACAGCCTCAGAAATGCAGAATGTTGCATCCACATGTTCTACTGGTGAACTTCTGTGAATATGCAACGTTTTTCCTTGTTTTGGTGTATTGTATGTGTTGCAATAAATTATTAAGCCAGAGTTCTTAAATGTCCCTAGGTTTGGGGGTTTTTTTTAACCAAAATATGGGTTTGTTTCCCATGTTTTTGCAAGCATCACCTACGCAAGCGTGTGCTACATTTGATGTTTCACTGGAGCTCAGCTTCAGTGCTCTGGTGAATTTTTAATACAAAGACTCAGGTGTATTTCACAAAGAAGGAAAAAAAAAAAAAAAAACCCAAACCAAAGGAAAAAAAAATAACAAACCCCCACCTAAATAGTTCACTTTGCACCTTGGTGCATTTTACTTTGTATATTGATAGTCTTTCACATTCTTAGCCACTGCTTCCATACCATCATGAGGAAGGTGATATCAAACTGATAACTTTATTCTTCCACGGGAACTTTTTTATAGATGAAATACCGTGGTAAGAAAGTGATACGCTTTTAAGTATGCAAAGCTGTGATCTCTGGAATTGTAATGCAACAGGGGTTGTAAACAGTAACACAAGTTGCAAAATCTCCCTGCGTAGGAATTGCTAGCAAATTGAAGTGAGATTAAAAAGAAAGCCTGAGGGTCTGGCTGCATTGCAGAGATTGTCAGAACACATAAGTGCATGAAACTGGTGAATGAGGCAATCAATGGCTAAGAAATAAGATGAACTTTCCACAGGGCCTCTCCTGTGTTACCCACACATTAGCCTTTACTTTACTACCTTACACGTCAAATGTCTCTTGGGTGAAGAGGAGGGGCTGAAATGTCAGTGTGAAACAGGTGAATTAAATTCTTTGGTGTTAGTAAGTATGGCCAACTTGCCTGCTGTTCACCAAGTCATACCAGTGACAATTAAGAAAAACTTTCCTGCTGATGCTAGGCTGCTAAGAGGGAGACCTAGACTTTTAAATGTAAGCCCTGTACCCACACATTTCCAAAGTCTACATGAAATAAGAGGTCTTTTTGGAGTTAGGATCCATAGAAGGGGATATAGAAGAGGGAGGAATGAGCCTGGGAAGATGCATATTATTTCTGATTTTGGCCCTGTGAAATTTGTCAGGGAAAAGGTAAACTGCCTGTATTTGAGTGTCTTAATGTGGCTTAATCTTGATTTGAGACTTTAAATCTTTTCTGTAAATCTGTCTCTCTTGGGATAAACTGTCGTTGCAAGAGTCTGAGTGTTGGTAGCATCCCTCTGCATTTTTGATATTAGAATTCAGATTGCTTGTGAACATGCCTGATAAAACTCACTGGATCAACCTGCTGTTCTTCCTCTTGCAGCAAGTAAGTACGTGCCTTACAGTTCTATCTTGTCTGAGTACATGTAGAAATTCTGGAACACCAGAAGGGACAATGTTAATTCACCTTGATCTGGACCCTCTGTGTGAGGCCATGTGGGCACTGGGCGTCCAGCTCGGCCAACTGCGGCTGCTCGTGAGCCTGAGTTTCAGTGACATCGTTTGTAGCAAAGGGATGTGGTGCTGACTTACTACTGAGTTAGTTTGATTGTGCTTAGAAAAAGAGTATTAATTGTGGATAATTAATCTCTATGCTTCTACACTGTTTTCAGCAACTTTTCTTCTGCCTGGAAACAACATTTTTCTATCTTAATGGAAGTAGTGCACCTGTTTCAGCAGGGTTATGATCATTGTGTTTATTCAGACATGTCTGTGGCTGGTTTTTTTTACGTTATCCAGGAGTAGCATTAGCTCAGCAGCTGGGTCACTTTCTTACAGCACTTAGTTGGTACAATTTTCTCTTTATTTTTCTCTGTGAAGCTACTGTGAGCGGTATTTTACCGTTGGTGTTCTAAGGGCGTCAGGCGGGCAGTGGTTGTGAGGAAAACCGGTATCACTTGCTCTCAGAAAAGATACGTACGTCTTACCCATTTCATAGGATATTTGCACATTATTGTGCGATTTTTTTTTTTTTTTTAATTGATCCTTCCCTCTCCACCCACCTGCGCGCGCACACACACACACACACACACACAAAACCCGGCGCGTGCACACCCCCCTCCCCCCCCCCCCCCCCACACACACACAAAACCCGGAGCACCCCACACACAACCCCACACACACACCCCCCCCACACACCCCCTACACACCCACACCCACCCACACCCCCACACCCCCACCGCGCGCCCCGCGGCTGGCTGCTGCGTGCGGGTGTGACCGCGCGGGGGCGCTGCGGGGCGGCGCGCGCGCCGCTGGAAAGGTGCTGAGGGGGTTGAGCAGCCAGAACCGGATGGAATCGCTTCTAGTTGGTTCTTTCCTCGCTTTCGCCGATCGTCGTCTTCCCGTTACCCGCTGCATCAGTGAAAACAAAGTTTGCTTTGTTTTTTAAACTCTATGGAAATTATTTAAAGCGCCTAAAAGTTATTTTTCTGGACAAAATTACCTTTTTTTTTTTTTTTTTTTAAAGAAATGAAATGAATATCTGAAATGCCATAGAACTCAAAAAATTAAACGATTTATGTCAGTTGCCTGCCTCGCCTAGTTCAAAAGTATAAAATAGAACAAGAAAAAAAAAGCTAATTCATGAAAGACGTTCTTTTTCCCTTAAAAAAATAAAATGTATTTAAAGTTAGTAGGTTAGCTTATTTTTAATTTGTTAAAAATTTTATTCGGATTTCCCTCCCTAGAGATTTTAGCTGTAAGTAGAAATTTTTCTTTGAACTAGTTTAAGCTAAGGCCCTCTTTCTTGTCACGCACAGACAGGGAAATACTGCAAGATGCTGGATTAGCTTGTTCGCTTTTCATTGTTTTCTTTTGTAGCAGCAATCCGTTTAGCTATGGTATGCTGAGTTTATCTGATTAGCACTTAATGAGTGAAGGGAATAGGGGAAATGTTGCCTGAGTTACTTAAGCCTAATAAAGTTTTCAGTACCTTCCCCCGCTTTCTAAATACCTGAACTTTCCTGACCCCCCACCCCTTCTTTTTCCCTCAATTGCAGCTCGTTCCCGTATGAAATACACTCCCCCTACAGCTTTAACTGTCAGAAGCAGTGGTGCCATTAGCCGGATTTTGTTCTGTGCACACTGGTCACAACATACATCCTGCTCAACAGGGTTTGTCTGGAGCTCTTACGAATTCAGCTGGTTGTTATGCTGGCTCACACGCCTTACCAGGGAACACGTACTGACTAAAAATGTAACAACCTGTAGCATGAGTATTTCTAACCTAAAACCATAGGTATAACTGTAAGCAATAAAATAATTTCTTTAGTTATGTTAGCAGTGACATTTTAATGAGGGTTTACTGGAGCTTGAATAATTACATTAGATAAAGAAATTAAAGAAAGCTGAGGTTTATTAATGCTTAAAACTGTCTGTGCCATATGCATTGCTGGTCTGTTACTGTAATTAACTCAGTAAGTTTCTTGCATTACTTTCATGTTTTCCTCTGGACTTCAACTTTATTTCCCCCCTCCCCCCCCCTTAGGATTAATTTTTGTTGTAATTTGATATTGCATTGTAAAATCTTTAATACAAAAGCAAAGTTCTGAAAAATTTAGAGAAGTAATCTGCATTAGTTTATGTTGTTCGGTTATATCTTTGGCACTTCTGTTAGTTTTATACAGAAATGCAAAATTGTCTTAATACCAGTGAAGATAGGTCCAAGGAAAGTACAGTTGACATTGCTGTAAGAGATTCCTTATGCATAGTAGGTTCTATAGCTGTTGAAATAACAAGGAAAAAGGAACAGAAGTTTAGGTGGAGTGTCAATCAGGGAAGTGTTGCTTAGGAAATCTGAATCTTTACAGGTAAGGACCTCTGAACATATTTTTTTTTTGTACCTGCTTAGCAATACAAAATTTTAATAGAAATTATCTCACATTTCTTTTATCACTGTCAGTGTCTCCAATTTATAATAACAATAGTAATAATAATAGTCTTAGTAAGTGGCAGCTAGTAATAGCAGTACTAATCCTGCTAGAGCAGAATGTGTGTGTATGTTTTTAAATAATTTTAAAGATACTAAGAAAATGCTAGAGGTGCAGGAATACACAGAGATGCCTGAGAAGGGTAGAAAACAGCTGAGAACGATTTTTGAGGTCTGCACAGCTTCCTGCTGAGCACGCCCTAAGGATTTGCCTTCCTGGGCGAGGTACCGCGGCTGAGGGTGTTCACGTTCCCAGGGCATTGCAGCGCCGAGCTCAGAGCCTCCGGTTAAGCTGCTGTCAGGGCGGGAGCGAGTCTGGAAGTATCACACTCTGATCTAAACGGTAGAAATTTTGGAGGAGAAATCCCTATCTTTTCACTTCACCGACAGCCCAAACAGTGCCATTTAAACTTCTTGTTTCCATTATTGTTTTGTTTTGGTTTAGTTTTTTGTCTGCTCCTGAATATGTACAGCTCATGCCAAACTTCTGTCCAGCCATCAAGATGAAAGAAAAACAGGTGTTAATCTGTGGATTAGGTATTGAAATATTTTGTAATTTGATTCCAAGGTTTATTTAAATCATGAAAAGTATGTGTGTGTGTTTTTCTTTTCCCCTCTCAGGTTTGCAATTATGTGTGGCTATATGTCTCAGTTTGAAAGTGTACAAAACAAAATCAGGAATGGTTATCTCTTTAAGGTATGTTTTTGTAGGGTTTGGGGTTTTTTTTTAAGCTATTCCTTTAAATTATTTTCTTATATAGTGTCTAAGACAAATTTTTCCAGTAAAGTAATTCAGCCTCACAGGTCTATTTTGGTGCCAGTGTTAAAGTGAAAAAGTTATTTTTATGTATGCAAATAGATGATATGGTTACAGAATTTAAGAACTGAGATAGGATTCTGGGATTTCAGTTTTATTTTGTAGTCAAAGCGGGGAGGAAAAGGGAGTAACAATTTTCTTTAGAAAATAAAATCAAATCCTAAGTGATAAACTAACACAGTTCTTCAATCATCCTTCATGCCACCCTTGAGAAGTAATATTTGTTTTAGCACTGTCCTTTCAAAGTTACTCGTGTTTTTTAGAGTTAGTGGTTTGTGTTACATGTGTTACTCTCCCCTTCCTTGTCCTCGGCATTGCTTAGGCGCTTTCCCTCCCTTGCCCTGCGAGCCTGTGTCCCCCCTCTCTGGGTGTCAGTGAGAGGCAGCAGACGTGTTCCACTTCCCAGTGTCTCTATCACATCGTGTCCGTGTTAGGGCTTGGAGTGTCGTGGCGCTTTCCTATGAGAGAGCCTTAATTACATCTGAGCTGTGCCAAGTGAGCTAAGCCCCAAGCACTGGGACAAGCTGGGAGCGAAGGGAAAATAACAAATAACACAAGTGCGGCAAGGATGGAGTTTATAAGAGCCTGCAGTGTTAGCAGTAGTGTTTTCAGGGAGGTTTTCCTCTTCATGAGTAATTACTGAAATCTCTGTGTATCATTTGGAAAGGTTAAGGATTTGAGAAAACAATAGCATGGAAACAGCTCCTATCTGAATAGTTTGTGGACAAAATGATACAGTAAAAGGCTCTTGGATCTGTATAGCTCAGGTATTTTAGTGACTGGCATGATTAGAAAACCAGAGATGTTTGGAGGGGAAAAAAAAAAAAAAAAGAAACCTTAGAAGTCAAATTTATTCTGAAAGGTATTTAGGGGCAAAATAACATACCTTTTCTTTAATAAATTATAGAGAGAAAGAAACACAGTCATGACCTGTAATGAAAATGGTATGGAAGAAAGACTTCATTAGATACTTTATAGGTTTTATGGTTCACTATAAACAGAACCATTTTATTTTCTGAATTTCCCATTATTGTAACAATTTTTTGTGTCGGGTACCATTTCACTGGGGCAGTCATATTCCAGGGTGGAAGAGACTGTGCTCCAGTGATGGATGCTAGCATGTACGATCTATCAAAGAGAGTGGTTGCTTTCTCACCAATTTGGTGTGTGACCTTTTCCTAATACTAGCTGTAAATAAAATCAATTTAATTGAAGTTGTCACCTTTTTAAGACAAAAGTTCTTGAGTTCTTTGATTGAACTTTAGAGCTGCGTAGTCATGTCCTAAATACATCATGCCTTCTTGCATTGTGTACAGAGTTGCTAAATAATTTTGTTTATGGTTTCCCTCCATGAGGGAGGGGTTTGTTAATATTTTTAGGATGTTAGAAACACAATTCAGCAGAAGAGGATTTCTGAATTTGTTTATGATTTACAGCAAACTTCTTAGAATGTAAACACACTTGCCAAACTAACATCTGAAATGACACTGATTTTCTTTCTAATAGGAGCACCTAGACAAAGCAATTGAACTTAAGCCTCAAGATCCTTTTTTATATTACCTACATGGAAGATGGTGCTATTCAGTAAGTTGTTTTTTTATCTAGTGTATGAATTGAGTATAGTGAAAAGTGACAACTTGTTTGAAACTAAATAGTGGGGCTTAAGGCAAAGTAGGTGTTTATTGAAGTAGATGTTTTAAGCTAAATGAAGCAATACATTTACATTTCCTGAATTAACTTCCAAATGTGTGATGTTAACTGCTGACCCTTCCTGTCATGTACCTTAAGCAAGCTGTGCATGTATGTCCCTCATTGCTGTGTTTAGGTTTCTTAACTGACTGTATGAATGAAAAGTAATTGATGTTTTGAAGGAAGGGTGATCTCTGGTATTGTAAGCCGTGATTTCAGTTCTTTATTCTGCCACAAACTTTCTGGGTGACCTTGGGCTGGTAACATAGCCTTTTGGCAACTTTATTTCTCATCCATAGTTGAAGTTAAATGCACTTACATGCTGTGGGATTATGTCGGTGGCAGGAAGGCTACCGTACTGGCTCGATAAATTCCAGGAGAATGTCACAACAAAGATGCAGGCATAAAAATCTGTCATACACAAAAAAAGTTTTGCAAGAGATACGATTTATGTTATGCCAACACAACAAGTGCTTTTAAATACTGTGTTAATGACATAGTGATAAGTACTCATATGAAAAATTAAAATAATTGTTTTACAATCTTAGCTGTTGATTAAGTTTATAATTTTTTTTTTTTTTTTTTTTTTTTAGAAAAATGGTGCTTGTGCTTGGAATATGAGAGTTGTCTTATTCTTAAGCCCACTTCTTTGAATGGCTTAGATGGCTATCCTTATTACTTCATCTTTAGTGCTGTGAGGAATCTTTCTGTTCTTGCATAGTCTGTGCTGTAAAAGATCACTGGGAGGCTTCTCAGAGTAACAACTGCTAATGCACAGTGAATTCCAGCCCTGCCTTACTCCTCCAGCTACTTCCAGTGCTAGTCACTATGAAGTGCCTGCAAACTGGAAAGAAGGAGTTGCGGTGATACATCGCAGCCTTTAACTTTGTGCAAAGTAATCTTTCAGCAGTTTTTTCAGATCATAGATTTAACTTTGAAAGAGCTTTCAAGCAGCTGCATTTTTTCTCAGTTGATTTGAATAAGGAATGACACCGACTTTTGAAAGAGCTTTTCATTTTATTTTTCATCACACTGTATTCCTGAATATCAGCATTAGCTATGCAAAAGTGAGTTGCTGAGGATTGTCCTATAGTATGCTTGCTCTCCTGCCTTTGAAGAGCATCTCTTGCGCCACTCATTCCTCAAGCACTTTTATACTGTGCTGTGTGCAACAGTTGACTGCAGCTTCCATTTATGTCAAGCACTCCCAGAGGTTTTTGGTGGCTTATTTCTCAGTTGAGCTATCGCTTTTGGAAACTTTACATGTAATTTCAGTATACCTCACTTTGTTCTTATTGCACTGTTTTTCTTTTTTTACTCTTGTTTCATTTTAGTGACAATCACCACTTCCTGACTGATACATGTGGTTTATTGCACTATATCGTTATAAACTCATGTTCCACACTTGCAGGATCTGTACAGGACTTCCTTACTGAACATTAAAGTCACAGATTAGCATTTGCTTTAGGGTATGACCTGACCAGCATTTCATTAAGTGAAGAAATCCACCTAAACAGATGTACCCACTGAAATGCTTAAAAATTGATTTCTTCTTCTTTTTTTTTTTTTTTTTTTTTCCTTGTTTTCTGTGACTGCCATGACAAAATAGTAACCTGAAACACTTAGAACAGATTTTCATAGTACAAATAAATGCAAGTATAGGACTGAATAACATTTTGTTTTAACTTCTGGGGCTGTCTGCTCTTAAAAACTTATTGTAATTTGCACACTTTCAGTAGCAGGATGAGGCCATCATTTGAAAACATTAGATTTGAGGCTCTACTGTGGAAGCTAGATCTTCATCCTAGCCCAGTGAAGTTGGTGATATCCTCAGTAGTTTTAGCAGACAGTATGAGTAGGTTTCTGTGCTGATCCAGTAACAAAGGTTTTGGCCACTCATGTGATGTAGAAAGTCGTAGGAGCTGGTGGAAACTGTGGCAAATTCCTTGGTCCTGTTCTGTAACTGGTGGTTCATGCTGTGGTAATTACCCCACAAGGGACTGTTGGCTGTGGCATTGGTTCCAAATACTTCTTCAGGGCAGGGATTATGATAGAGTGCTTGAAAAATTAATTTATCACTTCTTAGCTATACCAGTACCTGTAGATGGAGAGATAATGCTCCTCTCAGACTCCCTGTTTCTTTTGTTTTAGCCTCTCTGAGGTTGAAGCTGTGTTGTCCAATATGAGGAAATTAAAGTACCAAAAGGGATGACTGAGGAAAGAAGGTTAGTTTTTACATTTAGCCTAGCTGACTTTGAGGTCAAGTTAGGATTGCCCACAATATTTGTTCTTTCATAAGTGTTGCTTCCAGGGGTGTTATTATATAGTTCTAGTCACATATTCTTTTAATGAAGCACTGTATTTAAAAATGATGACTAGCGTTTGATACTTTCTAGGCTTTGGTAACACTTTTGAGAAACCTGATGTACTTAGTATAGTCAGATATTTCTCATTCACTCCTCATTCAGTGTTGGGTGATCTTATTACCATCTTCTAGCACAGTTTTTTGGGCTGGCAAACAGGAAAAAGTAGGTATAGCATAAGAGACTGTAAAAGGTGATGCTTTAAGTGTGGTAACTTAGGGTTCCAGTTTATTTTCACAAATGACAATCAGCTGAACGGACTTTTAGGTAAAATGTATAGTGTAGGCAAACAGAGAAGATGTATTGAAAACTGAAACCTATATGCAGAAGCTGTATGCTGTACTAGTAAAAGCTATTGGATTTTTGGAGTTTTGCTAGAATTTGGCTCTGACTGCCATTTCTCACCCTCAGTGTAACACAGTCCTTTGCAAAGAGCGATGGTGCTGCAGTGCCAAGTTTCTTGGCGGTTATTCTTGCTGGGCCAGTTTTGAAGCTGATGCAGAGTGTCATAGCACCTTCCAGCAGGAGGGATGAGCTGGATTTTTCACTGCCTCATAGCAGTGGGGGTTTGTGTCTGATACAGAGCCAGTGACAGTTGTGTGTCACCTTGTCTAAAAATAAATTTTTGCTGTTTCTTATTTCTCTTACCATTATAAATCCAGTAGAGCTATACAAAAAAAAGAATATTCTGTTTTGATGTGTGTATCATCTCAGCTTTGTTAGAAAATTACTTTTGGTATCATAGTCAGGTAGACAAGATTTTCAGCAATCATTTCGTAAATGTCATGGTGGGCAGAATTTTGCCTGTGAGATCTGCTGTGTATACAAGAAGCCACCTATAGCTGTAATGGGTTTTGTTTTGTTTTGCAGAGGTTACAATGGGAAGAAAACCCACTATTTATTTATGCATTGAGCAAACATAATTGAACACCACTAGTAATGGATAACTGCAGAACCCTACAAAATGTTATTTTAATATTCCCTTTTCTAGAGTGATATGAACTTTTACATAGTGGTAATTTTTTCCAGGGTAGCTTTAGTGATAATGTTAGGAAAAGATAATTACCATATAACTGTAATGAAGATACTTTAAAATACCTAGTAAGCAAAGCAAACCACTGTTTAGTATGTAAAAGTGATGTTATTATTCCAGAGAAAAACAAGTGCTGCAAAAAATTTAAGATGTCTTTGGTGGTGGACAGAACTTTTTGTTCTCAGCCTTCTGTGACAAAAGCAGGCTTTGTTAAGTATGTATCTTTTAGGGAAGATTTAATGTTTTAAATATATACTTGGGTTAGTTCATATGATTTAAAAGTAGTGTTTTGAACCTTTCAAGTTTCAGCTTTGTTTTTGTTAAGGGAAAGTGAAAACTACTTTGCTCTTTAGCTCAGCAGGAAACATTTATTGGAGGTGAATTGATCTGTGGTGCATGGTGTGTAGAAATTAGGTTTTTTCCCTTAGCGTTTTGGATGTAGTTATCTGATAATCCTTTATAAATTTGTGTTTGGGGGGATTTTTAGTGTTTAAATATTTAGAATAGCTTTTAAAACAGAGTCCATATGTAGTTAAGACTTACGGCTACTTGTCATTACAGGACTGATACAGAACAGTTAGCATGTATTTGTGAAACTGGATCAGAGCCTCTGGTGAATGCAAGTGGCGTGTTAAAAATTAGATGTCTTGGGATTTTCTCTTTGCAGGTTACATGCCATGTGTTGGATTCATCTCTGGTGTAACCCAGTATCTGTTTGGGTTACATCAGGGGGCAGATCGACCCAGTTCTTTTGTCTGTGTGCTCTGTAAGTCTGCTCCCCTTACTGGAAAGTGAAAAGCCCAGGGAATTCAAGTTGGATAAATGCCTAAATGCCTGTGCAGACTGTCCTGGTTCCTTAGCTGGCAAGAAATAGAATATTTGTGTTGGAAGCCAGTATTTTAAATCTGCTATCCAGTTATTTAATCTCTTCCAGAAGTCAAAACATTGCAAAATTATTTAATATAATTTTGCGGTAATATATTATAATAAAAAAGAAAAATAAACTCTTGGGGGATATCTAAATAGGTGCCATTAATATTTTACTGAAGCTGGATCAATGGGATGATTTTCCTATATGGAAGACAATCTTGTGATCATCTTCAGTGAGCTATTAGCAAGGAAATATCGGAGGAAGAAATCCTTTAGGGCTGCAAGTCAATCCTGGCTGAATTTTAAATCCAAGTGGGTTAGTTTCCTTGTACCAACATCCTGGAATTTGAAGAGAGCTGTTGATGGGCAGGGTTTGCATCTCCTCAAAAACAAACAGAAGACAAAAACAAAAAACCAAACTCCAGTCAGTGTTTTAGTTCATATGTGATTTTTGCTGAACCTAGGCTAAGGAAGAAAAAGGGATATTAAGAAATCTCTTTTCCCAGTATTTAGGGGAGAACCACATTTTCAGCCTGGGACTTGAGAGGACCAAGAGGCATGATAGGAGCGTGCTGGGTACAAACTTTCCAGTTAGCTGCAGTTTGACTCTGTGGGTGACTTTCTTCCATCTCTGGTATTGGTAGAGATTTGGGTAGAATAAATGGATAAGATCTGGCTGTTTGACAGATCTATAGGAGAGATTGTTTGAGATGAGCATCTCTGTTAGCTTTGGGATACTGAAGAGTGACCTCCTCTCCTTGGCACAGGCGAGGCTGTCGTGGTGGCCCACTCCCCTCCAGCCCTCGGCAAGTCCCGGAATTGGCTGATGGTCACTCAGGCCCTTGCTCTTCTGCTCTTGAGTGGGACTGTGGGGGGCAGCTGGGGAGCTGTTCCTCGAGTGACCCAATGCACTCGATGTTCCTCGAGTGACCCAATGCATTAAAACCTGATCTTCTGTGGAAACACAATGTTCCTTGCAGTGCTCTTGTGAATTTTCAGGTTGCTGGGGGGACTGATGTAAGGGCTTGGGAGATCTAAAAAAAACAAAACTCACATAAGGTTTGGAAATCATCTGTAGGACAAAGGCAATCTTCATTCTTTAATTTTGTTGTTGTTGTACCTATTACTTGCTGTAGTAGCTGTTTTTCTTATTACTTTCTGCTCTCTTATACTGTTCTTGGAACATGCATGAAGTGAAATCATGGTTCTGCTGAAGTTGATGACAGTTACAGTCTCTTTGATTTTCTTTGGACCTCCAGATATGCTTTGCACTATTTGGAATAACCTTGACTGTAGAAGTCAAATTTGCACTGCACTAGAGCATGCTACACCAGCATTTCTGTTGGCTGCGCTTGCTCATGCACAGGGAATGCTTAATAAAGTTGGTGTAGTAGGAATGATGTTTCCATTTCACTGAACACGGCATAAGATTTACTCTAATAAAGTTATTTCAAATTAAAGACTGTGCTTGTGTGTGTTTAGGGGAAGGGTATAATTTCCTCTTCATCATTATTGCTCCAGGACACAATTTTGTGTCTTGCATAAAACAGGTCTTTTCCATTTGTCCCACCCCAGTGATAGAGGTGTTCAGACTGACTCAGGTGGAGCGTGGTTATGCTGTTGTAATGGGATTGACCTCACCTGTCTTCAGCCATCCAAAAGGTATAATTGTGTATGTTCCCTTTGTAGTTGAAGGAAAGAAAGAAGAGAAAGAGAGGAGTGGTCATCTCAGTCTAATGTAGGTGAAGAGGAATTACCCAATGGAAATGCCTCTCCCTGTACCGACCATGCAAGGAACCTGGACAACTTGCATAAACTAGGCACTTCATTTATGGATAGCTAGAGTTAGCTGCAATGAATTCATCCAGCTAGTGGCATATAAGTCTGACTGCTCAAAACATTACAGAACTCTCAGACTATCTGTGTAATAGTAAGTATAATGCTGAAGCCATTGCACATTAAAGAAAACTCACAATTGTGCATACCTGCATTTCACTTTTAAAAGTTGTTTTAGGTTGGTGGGATTTGTAATACAAAAATGGCCAAGTTCATATATGTTTGGGCTTTTTAAAGTTTGGATAGTTCAAGGCAGCACCCAAGCCAGACAAAATAAGAACTAAAACCTCAGTAAATCAGTTGTGATTAAATCTTGTAAGAAAATAAAACAACTGCCAGGAAGAACTTGTGTTTTCAATAGGTAATTATAGCTCCACATGGAAAAACTGCAATTTTGTTTCCTCACTGTTTCATAACAGCAGACACGTGTGGGGTAATTGTAGCTGTGCAGTGCATGTGTATCTCCAGGGTGCTGTGTGGTCTTGCAGAGAATAGTGTAAGCATATACCTTGCCTTTTATTTTTTCCCCTCTTCCTCTCTCTGTAAGCTACTTCGATCTTGATGTGATGAACCCAGAAATAAAGAAAACCCTTTCCTCTTCCAAAAGAATAAAGAAAACTGCAGCAGTAGATTGGTGTGAAGAAAACAACAGTTCTGCAAAAATCCTTTTAATGTCTCTCACAGAATATGAAGCGTGTGAGGGAATTGTATACATACCTACAATCTGAAGTTTTAACCAGCATGCCGCAGTTCATAACATAGTATGAAAGCTCTGCAGTGTTGGGGGGAAATACCTTGTTGCTTCAATAAGAACTCTGGGAATTGCTGGAGAGCTTTTGTAAAAAACACTTTATTCCCTTAGAAGAGACTTCAAGAGTGGGATATGTGAGAGAGACAAAATGAAAAAAAAACTTTATTTTCTTAATATTGTTTCTCTCTGGAATATATTTTTTAGTGATTTTGTGTGAAAGACTTACTGACAGCATTTAACAAATAAGGCACTGGACCTTGCCAAACAACCAGCAAGACTTGACCAGGATGCCTTCTGTCTCCAGGCAACATTGCTCTTATCTAACTACAGTCATTGGGGCCAGATGAGAAAACATGGTCCTCTATGCACGTACCTGTTGCGTGCTGGCCTGTATTTATACTCCTTGCAATGATATTTTTAGGGCAGTTTGCAACAAGAAATACATAGAGCTTGATATCTGTTCAAAAGAGAACGTTGATGCTGTGGATAGTTATGTGTGGATAGATTCTTATATTTTATCATGATTAACTGACACCTACTGGATAGTTGCTGGATTTAGCTGGAGAAGGCAGGGGGAACAGCAGTAGCCCTGAAGAGATTGGGAAGCCAGGTAATGAGGCAGGAATAATCTAAAGCTGTCCCAAACCATTCTAATTTTTACAGCAGTAGGACAGACTTGAGTTCAAGTCTCAACTTTGTTATTTGAATTGCAGCACCCTCTGAAAAAGAGATGTCCCTCTGTGACTCACATTTCACCTCCAGGCCTCCGATAAGAAGCTCTCTTTCTTTGCCTGTGTGTATCTATCCTCTGTGTTGCCTCTGCACAGATCAGGCCAGAAATTACTAGGAAAACACAGAACTTTGTTCTTCACCATTTTTAAACTCAGCTGTAGCAGCAGCCATTAATGCTGTGGTTCAAATACTGATGTGAAGGAATGAAGGCCTGACTTTCCTTTACAGATACAGTGGAATTGTCCAAAGGAGGGTGGTTTCACTTCTTAATTTAAACAGGCTTCAGTCTCATACTGCATTTCTTAGCAGCTCCATCCTTCATTACAGATGTGAAGTGTGCTTCACCAGGTTAGCTGGTGGAGCCAAATACCTTATGGCAGTAACCAGAGCAGTTTCTGTCAGGTGTCAGTGTATGTAAGGCAAGAAGTCATGTACATTGTGTGGCAATATGGCAGTTCCCTAAAGTCCTTTCATAGCAGCCCATCTTCCTGAAATGAGAGGAGATCTTTGGCAAGTGTTATTTGTTAGATTTGAAGAGGAAGAAATTAAGCCTATTTCTTAACAGTGGTTGTCACCAGCTTCTGTGTAATAAATGGTCTTGTTTTGCAAGCGTCAAAAGCACTCACATTTTGACTGCAACAACAGCTTTTTGTAATGTTGAAAAGTAGTCAAGTACATGGACTATCATGCTAAGCTGTCTGTCTCATGAAAACCTTAACAGGCTTAGAGCACTATTTCTAGCCTTAGGTTTTTAAGAAATGCAAGGTCTTATGAAACCTAAACTGTACTTTAAGCTTTGTACGTTGGAATAATCTTAATGATATCGATGTTCTGTTATGTATTTCTTAATCTGTACGTTTTCCTGTTAAAAGAATCTAAAATCCAAAAGACTATGCTTTGAGCTGGCAAATTGACAGTATAAAACATTCCTTTACAGGTTCTTTTGCAAAATAGGTTGTATAAGTAGTACGGTGGCACAGGACAGCGTTTACTTGAAAACTGAGAAGCAACCCTAAAGAATTTTTTTACTTTTTTTTTTTTTCCTTTATTATAGGTAGCTCAGTTGTCTTGGATTGAAAAGAAGGTAGCTGCTGCTCTCTTTGGGACTCCACCAACTTCAACAGTAGAAGAAGCATTGCAGAACTTCCTTAAGGTAAGTCCTAGCCAAGGGTTTTCCTGTGTGACTGTTTACCAGCTGCTTGCTGTATTGACTGTTGTTAAGATGTCTGTTCAACAGATTATGTTCAGTTGCTATAAATCTGGATTTTTGGCTGTCCAAAATACCACAGAACTCTCTACTAAAATAGTTTTTCTTTTCTATTTTAAAATCAGTTTGGAGATAAGTGGCTAGCGCCTTTCTTCTCTTTCTTTAGTTTTAGGGAATTCTTCAATGTCTTGCCATGGTTAATAGTTACTTGATTTAATGTGAGACGGATATGGATTAGTTATATATGCCATTGAAACAGTTTAACCATAGTGATAACCGATGATTTGCCCGTTTCTGCAAGAGGGTTAACATACAGGCAAGGAAAACTTTGACATTGTGACACTTCTCTTTTTCTGATCTGAAGCTCTTTCACTGAATTTCAGTAGAAGCCTTTCTGGTTTGTGGAGATGATACTACCTTTGTAGTGAAGTAGAAAAGAAAGCTGTGTCATATAGGTCCATAGTACTGGACATTCTACTTGAACGGACAGTTATGAGAAAAAAACAGATGAATAAAATAAACCTGTCTTCCACTGTCTTTTAGATGAATAATTTCTATTTTTGCAGCTGAAAAATAAAAATTTTTCACTTGATTGAATTCAAAGCATAATCTTCCATCATTACAATTACTTTCAGACAGTTTCTCAAAGGAATTAATTGGACAAGCATATTTTCTTCGCTATCAAAAGTGCTTATTTTCTGCGCTTTTAGTCTATTTAAAGATGGAATGATCTTCTGAATTTTGGACAACACAATACATTACCATCTTCACAGTTGAAGAGATTTTATCTTTAAAGTCAATCTCCAAAGGTGGTAGAAATAATTTGAAATGTTCACTTTAGCTTCAGGGCATTTTGTGGTGGGCTGCAGAGTAACTGTGGTTTTAAGTCATCTTCTGCAACAAAAAATAAATTGCTGTCATAATGACAACTGTTTGGGTTTCTTTTTCAATTATTTGATAATACACAGTTCTGATGAAAGCAACAATGTTTTGATCCAAGGATTACAGTGACCATAAATTTTGCTGATGTAATTTTTCTTCCCCGAAAGCTGTTTGTTGATTAAAGCTGCTTCTTGGTTAGTAGGTAACTGGTAAGGTTTTTACTCATCTTTCAAGCTTCTACATCCTTGATGTGTTTTAAAAGGAAGACAATTTTGAACTTTTTTAACAACCTGAACTTTGCAGGAGATGGTAATGTGAAAAGAAAGGTGAACCCAGAGCTAGAAGATACAGGTCTGTGAAAGAAAAATAATTATGAAGTTGATGAAGACAGTTCATTACTCATTACACAAAGTGTGAATGGTTGGTTGCTTGTTTATTTCTTTGATGAGGAAATAAATATTAATAAACTAGAGAGAGCAGTGTCTTCCAACCCACCGTGTAAGGGAATGATCCGATATCTTTACAGAACACTTAGGGACAGAAGAGAGCAAGCAGTACAGAACATTTTTGTGTGTTGAATACCAGCACCTCATGTGCCTGGTTTAGGGTTTGAGTTTTGCATTTTCTTATTTTTTTGAGGTTTTTCTGAAATGCTAAACAGATTGTGGTACACACAGTAGGGATGATTCAGTCTGATGCTTGAGGAAGCTTAGTGCATTACTAAAAATGTTATGCAGACCACGTAAGTCTCATCACACAAGTTTTATGTCTATTTTCTTTCCTGTTTTTTATTATTTAGGCAGAAGAAATGTGTCCAGGATATTCCAAATGCAATTATGTGTATTTGGCAAAGGTAACCAGCTTCTTTTAAAAATAATGTTTTGTAGACTCTGGTATTCTTACAGTGGTCTGATTGGAAACAAAATGTTTTTTCTTCTTAGTGCTATAAAGATCTTGGCCAGAAAAACAATGCACTGAAGTACTGTGATTCTGCGCTGTCAATTCTCTCAGTTACTAATGAGGTGGGTATTGAAAGTGATAACTTGTTCTCTTGTGACTGCTGTCTTGTCTTTGGTGCCCATTATTACACTGTCAGTAATAACATAGTGTTTCACTTTTTCATCTGAACACAGAACCTTCCTTTTTCCACCACTCTAGGTTGGCTCATTACAGTTGTCTGCATCAACAGCTTTAAAAATATCTTTGTTTGAGAAACTGTCGGGGACTTGTCTGTGTCAGAGGCAGTCAGAAATTGAATTGCACTCTTTGTAGTTCAACCCATTTCATTAAACTATTTTAAGCATAAGCAGTTGAGCGTGTCACTCCAGCTGTGCTAAAATTTTGCCCCAGACCTACTTTTTCTCAGTGGAAAGTGCTCTGTATTTTCTTCCCACAGTCTCTATCTCTGCACCTGAAAGCCTCTGGTTTGTGATTCTTGTCAAGGCCTCCAAGGCAGTGTTAGCTATAGCAGAGGTAGATGAGTTATTCAAGATTGCCTTTGTCTTCAACCACAGTGCAGTTAAGGGGCATGTTCTTCCAGTTACATCTGCTGGAACATAGTTTATTCTAAGATTTTATTAGATTCCTTTTTAGGCCCTTCAGAGTATTTTTAGTATGTGGACGCAAAATTTCTACAGATATTTGAGAGATTTTAAGTGATTTAATTTCTCAAATATAAACCAAGTCATGGCAAGAAGGTTCACTCTGTCTGATCTCATGTAGAAGCAAGTTCCATAATTAACGACCTATGACTGGAAACGTCTTACCATCCTAGAGCATGACAAGTTCAAACCTGAGCTTTGTCAGCCTAAGGGACCCCCTCTAAGCACAGCAGATGTGGTAGGGAGAGAGGTGATTCCAGAGATGAATTTGCCTTATCCCATTTAATTCTTTGAAGTTAAGGAAAAAGACCACTAAATAGCTCTGTAACTTGATTGACAATAAATGCTGTGTGTGTAGCACTAACATGTTTATGTCAAGTGTTCCTGCTGGGAGGAAAGACCACTGCATGCCTCACCAGCAGCTGCTCCTGGGTGGCCTTTATTTTTGGCCCAAGTTATAGTATGTACCAACCATAAATTAAGCAACCATTGCTTAAGTTCAGTGTTTCTTTAAATACATATTGATACAGATATGACATTAACAATCTCTTTACTCTGCCTTATTCTTTACTTACTGTTGAAATGTGCCTTCAGCTTGCATGTTACAGAACGTAGGAAAGGCTGCTATAAATTATCTGTTATTTGGTACGTTACATCTCTGCACAAAATGTAGAACCAAAAGTGTAAGGGAGAGAGCATAGAAATTAAATTGCTTGAGCTCAGCCTGTTTTGTATGTATCTGCACTGACTGTTCTGGTGAATTTTTTGGTTTTCTTGCATTCAACATACTAGAGGCTGTGTAATCTTGCAATGAGCTCTGAAGCTATCTAGTAAAATTGCAAACAGGCATATATCACAGAAACTTCTGGTGGGCAGAAGTTGGACTGCCTGTGTTTAGTAAACTGGAAATTATTTCAACATATTCGTAAAGACTCCTTGAAAAAGTATAGAGATGGCACAGATTGGGATTCATCTTTGATAACAATAGCTGGACAAAATTTTGGTGACCAGAAGTAGTTGCTGAGGCTCCTCCTACGCTCAGTGGAGAGAGAGATGCATCCAGGTGCCTCAACCTGCCTCTCTCTGTCCCCTGATGGCAGAGAGAGACTAGATTTAAAAATACATATAAGATGTCTACCTGAGATCCTGACTCCTAGACTGTGCAGTTAATGAGAGATGAATCCTGTCTCTAAAGTCCAGTGTCATCAGTCTAAACATGAGCTGGAGTTCAGTGCATCCTGGGCCTCCGGGAGGGGCTTAGTTCCTGGTAAAAGGAACGTCCCATCACATTTCTGAAGTACCAGCAGACCTGAGAAGGAAGGGGGGACCCTGAGGTGGGAGCAGAAAATTGGGAACAATCTGAGGGGGATGTGTGTGTATTCTGGCAAGCAGAGTGGTGGTGAGAATAAGAATGAAACTGGTTTGTGAACAGAAGAGCAAGGGGCAAATAGTCCCCCAAAATATTTTGTCCATCTGAAGAGGACAAGATGATTTGTCCTCTTCTGTTTTGACTGTTTCTATAGATATCACAGATCTGTCTGCTTTGTCTTATTTACTTGTGATGTGTTTTGAGTTAAGTTTAGAAAAAAAAAGTCCAGAAAAATATAGCATTGGGGCAATACTGTGTAATTCAATTTAAAAAAAAAAAAAAAAAAAGTCAGTGAGCACAAGGTAAAATCAAGTGCAAGCTGAAAGAAATTACTATAAAATGGAGCTCTGGAACACAAACTCTGCTGATGCTGTTACCTCAAGTCCCATCTGAGTTAGAATATTATGTGTTGTTTTGGTTATTGTGTTAGAGAAAGATTGTTACAGATTTTTTGGGGAAGCATGTTGGAACTGAAGTGGTTCAGGGCTTGGAGCTGTACATCGAACTAACATTTAGTCAGGTTGGTTTAAGGGAGGGAAGAGATTGTAATAAGACTAAAGAGATGCTGGGGAGACGGTAATAAGTGGATGCTGATCAAGTGCCTGAATTGACTGCAGCCCTGTAAAAACAGGTTGATGGTCTGAAAGAGAAAACACAGGTCACCAGCAGTCTGAGGATTTCTTTCAGTTTGTCACAGCACAGGATCTCAAGGTTGCCAGCGGTGTGGTATGTTGTCAGAGTCATGCACAACCCATCATTCCCAAGTGTAATCATAGTTTCTCATGTGAGTTTTCTCTCTTTCTTCAGGCAGGGGAATTCCTTTATTGTTTTGAAATGTTGGCTTTTACTGAGAAATATGTCTATGTATAAAGGCATAAAATCAGGAGCAGACTGAGAGACAAAGTTGTTGGAAAGGTGCCACATTGTGGAAATGTATAGTATTTCATGATACAAATCATCTTGCAGAATAAGTATGAAAAATAATAGTAGACAATGGTTTACTTTTTATTGCATCTGAGCATCCACAGTTCCCAGTGACTTCAGTGGGAACCAGAGGTGCTCAGCGTCAGTAGAATAGCCCATAGCTCATTTTAATCCTCAGATCAAATTCTCAGCTGGTCTAACTCAGGGCACTTCTTTGACGCTTTGTCTAGGATTCATTTCATGTAACATTTCAAGTTAAGTGAGATGATTTTTGTCTTGAATGTTGTATCCCATCCAAATATCCCTTCTGTGCATCTGTTCTACCACTTACAGAATATGTTTTTAATTCAAGGGGTAGAGGGGCTTCTGAACAGAGGTAATTCTTGTTGAAGAAAAAAAAATAATCAGCTGACTAGTTTCAACACTATTATGAACCTAAAAAAAGGATACCAAAGAAATAATAAAAGAAGATACCAGTTCTGATTGAATAAATCCTGTAAGTCGTAATACCAGTTGTTAAAAACAGTTTGACACATTTTTAACTAATCACTCTATGCATTTTTATATTTTAAAAGGAAATGCAGGAGATTTGGTGCAAATTACATCTGGAAAACAAAATTGACGTTACAGTACTACTTTAAAGACCTTTATCTTTATCCTCTCTACTCTAAACAAAAACCTCCAATGACTCATACAGTCCTTCCCTGGCCATAAATACTGTCATACTGTGGAGTGGTACTTCACTGCTGGAGGTGCACGGGACATTAAATTGTCCAGCTTTTCTCTGGTTGCTGTCCAGGTGGATAACTTCAGGGTCCTGGGAAACATTTACCCCTTCAGTAAAGGAGATCCTAATGTTCGGGGCTGTTATGGGTTACTGTTAAGTGCGTAACAGCTGCTCTGTTTATCTAGTAGATGTTGTATTAGCCTTACTGAGACTCATTGCTTTGTAGTGTGCTCAAAGCCTTGGTGAGTGTGACTACGTGAAGGGCTGTTGGAACCAGATGTGGTGGACTACTGAGATGGAAAAAAAAAATTCCTTTTTTAAATTCCAGGAGAAAAATGAAATTTAAATGTGAAAACATGAGCGCTTGTCTTGCATATAGAAAGACAAAGTGAGTGGGTGGGTGAGTGTGCTTGATTAAACACATAGTGCTTTGCATGTAAGGGGAATAAGACACTAATTTCTTGTTTATAAACAAAGATTGTTGGCTATTTTCAAGTCTAGAACTTGTAGAAAATTAAAGTCTTGATGTAGGATTATAAAGTATAGTAGTAAATTATTTTTTCTTGTATCTGGAGATGAGCATGGGTGTGAGAATGAACTCTGTGTTTGTAGGACCAGTAAACTCACCACAAAGGGATTAACAGCCTATCAGAGAAAGAGATTAAAATTTCAAGGTTCTGGTCGATATGACGCTTTTAGAGAACTAATCTAAAAAGCAGCAGTTACATTACAAAAAATGTCATCTTGGAAGAGCTGAAGACAGCAAAGCAGGAAGAATGTAAAGCAAATTTATTTGCACTGAGAGTTGCAACAAGTCTTACTTAAAATGCAGATAAAAACTTCCCTGAAGCTGAGAATGTGTTTTACAAAATTATTGGTGATTTAAAAAAAAACAATCTTGATTTCAAAAACATTCCCTTCTTCCCAGCAATTACAAATGAAGGCAATTCAGAGTTGAAATTAACAAGTGAGAGAGATTTAGATATTACAGAAATTTATCATTATGGCATTCACTTCTTACAGGTGTAGAATGGCAGGAAGCAGAGACTTGTTAAAGACTCTGCCTTCAGTCTCAGTGATATTTGAGATTCTGGAAAAGCCCATGTGGAGGAGGAGGTGAATGTCATAATGGGCAGGAACAGCGGCTGAATGTTTACACAGGAATGCAGCTGCTGAGGAGAAATCACGCCTGTGAAATTTTCTTACATTTTTTTTACATCATCATAATTGATCTCCCTGCTCATTAATTTACATTTTTCATATTGTCGGTAAGGAAAAAAGTGGGAGGTACAGAGGCATGGAAGAGACATCAGAATATAAACTTCAGCACCCGTCTGTTGTTCCTGTTACAACAGAGCACTTGTATCTCCTGAATTTTCCACAACAGATTTTCCAAGAAAT